TGATGCTCCAGTCCGCTCAGCACACAGCAGCTCTCAGTGGGGAGGAGAGCAGAGGGATGGAGCCAGTTCAGAGAGGGGGGTGATTAGGAGGCCATGATGGGTAAAGACCAGGGGGGAGGAATCAGGCCAGGACACTGGGGTAACACCCCTACTCTTCTCCAGAGACACCCCGGGATTGTTAACGACCCCAGAGAGTCAGGACCTCGGTTTGACGTCTCATCCGAAGGACTTCCTGCTTCTCCCTGTACCAGCCAGTCGATCCCGACATGCCTCGCGTCCTGGCTCTGCCGCCGATGGATTTATTCCGGTTTTCCGGCCTCATGGTGGCCCACTGTAACTGGCAGGGACACCTCCTGGGCCCTCGTGTCGAGGGACCACAGCAACAGGCTCCAGACGCACACGCCCCACCCAGAATCGAAAAGGGTAAAAAAAATCTACGGGATGAATCGTTTCCCCATTTTAGACGCATAATTAATTTAGCAGGACCTGCGGGATGTTGTTTTCATTTTGACATGAGTGAGTTTTCTGTTGATCAATCACAGAAATCCCAAACGGTTTGATTCTCTATTCTAACACAGTAAAATATAAATAATCCCAAGGGGGGTGAATACTTTTTGATAACCACAGGACATGAACACCGCACTGAGAGAGAGGAGAGCAGAATCACTGGACAGCCAGCAGACACTGACACAGGTCTCACGGGTACCTCTGTCCATTCTGCCTGGACACTGGCGGGGGTCCTCTCCGGTGTCCCTCGGCACACTGGACATCAGAGACCGGTCAAGCTCAGACTCCTGGCTGTGTGTTTGTCTCCCATGTCCTCTTCTCGTCTCGGTCTGGCAGCTCTCCTGCTGCCGTATGAAAGCCAGCAGACTGGGGGGCAGCAGCCATCACCACCCAGGGGTGAACACAGCGCTGTGCCTGCAGGGAAAGACCAGGAGAACTTTACCTGGAGTCCAGTCCCTCCCCTGTGTCTCCCGTCGAGAGTCTCTCTCAGTCCAGCTCCTCACCTGTGTCTCCTGTCAGGAGTCTCTCTCAGTGGGGAGGAGAGCAGAGGGATG